GTGAAATCAATTCTTTGAATCAACTCCGATCTTTGTATAAGAAAACTCGAACTAAGAAAATTTTTATTTTTATCGCACTTGTTCGGCAAGAAATGTCGTTACATGAAGCTCATTTAAACAGTCTAAAACCATTTTTCATGGCTGTATCAACGTACGGAGTGATAAAATATTTTGCAGTATATATTGCTCGGTGGCAAATGTGTTGAGCATTTACGGCAATACTACCACGAAAGTTTTCGCGAATGTTAACCTCGTAATTTATGAATTCGAGACTGATGATTCTTCTATGCCTCGCCAATAATAACTGCATAGTATACTCCAACTGGCTTTTAGTTTTTATTCTGTTCTTATGAATTTAAATGCAATACTATAAAATAGCTCTACTGGTTATGAAAATCAATCTATATTATGGATTTGATAAATCTTTGAGGGAATTATTTTACAAGACGAAGATTTTTCGACAAGATTTATTTTAGTAAGTCTTCTTATTATTAATATTTTATCAACATATAATATTTATATATTATATCTCTCACATAAGACAATTACAAATATAGTATAACCAATAGATACAATAAGCTTGCCTCTCCACGACGTCAGACTCCACATGCGTCGGAGAAGTAGCAAATGATCTTGCAGGCCTCAATGTTAGGCCCAGCCAACAAGCTTTCCACGATGTATGGGAAAAGCAGTTTAATTTTCTTCAGCTTTTCAAGCACGACTCATGTCTGTGGCTCTCTATTCATAACTAACTATTGGGTCAAGTCGCAAAAAGTCCATTCAAGACTTTTTATCTCGATAATACTTTTGAAACAATACTTTTGAGACGTCATAATAGATTGTTACCTGCGTGATTTGTTTATTTTTATGCAAAGGTTTTGTCGCATAAAAAAAGTCGAATGAATTGTTGAATCCAACTTTTAACTATTAATTACATATTAAGAATGGACTTCGTCACGAAAGGCATTTTAAAATGTTTAAATTTTCAATATTATATGTTCATTATCATTTGTTCATTTTTTTTTTTTTTTTGTAAATAATCCGAAAGATTACAATGTATGTTGAAAAAAATTAAATTTTTCGCACAAATGACCTTTTCCTTTCACTTAGTAGGTCTCATTATATTCCCTTTGAAGTGGCGAATCGTTTCCAAACAATTACTACCGCTATTTATGCGATAATACAATATCGATCATTCATTTGTAAGTTAGTCGCAAAGCTAAACATATGAACAATCAGAAAAAGAACGCCGAAAAAAGGCTTTGTTGGAAAAGGTTGATCGCGCAGCCCCTACACAACCTTTTCTTTGGCTATACTCGCAGTCACTGCGAATTTGCAGGCTTAGAATTCCTTTGGCGCAAGCAAGTCAATGAAAACACACGGTCAAGAAAAACCACAACCTAATTTAAGATTCCCTTAAGTAGACAAAAGACTAAGAAGAAACCCTCGCTTAGGTAATTGAGAGACGTTAAAAAACGCGAAAGTTTTACATACTGATATACTTCCGGCGAATACTTTTTTTGTGCAATTTTATTGAGCTTGTGTTGCTGCTTTTTCGGTCGATTTAACTGTGATTTGGAAAGTAAGGGACATGAAATTAAAAAAATGTTTTTAACATACAATTACAGTTTCTGTTTTCCTATGTATCTATTAGATTTTTTTCTATTTCACGCATAATTTTTGTAAGCAGGAGAACTTTCAAGGAATCTTATTTTCATAAAGATGCTCATGAGTCTGTATGTATCTAGGTGCGATAGATTTATACTATATTTATTACTATATTTTTGTTTTACCAACATATTTCGTGTCATTGCAGTCTATAACATTTTAGCTTAGAAAATTTAGATGTACAGCACTAGACCCTAATTGACAATTCTAAAAAAGACTTTTTCATGCAAATTCATCGAGTAAAATATTAAAATGCTATAAATATGGGGAAAGCTTTTTTATGTTCGATTTATTAAAGCGAAGGAAAAATGCATACGCAGAGCAAGATTTGAAATGGAGTTTGGCAATTTTCTATTTCAATAAATCCCATTACCATTCCTTTTAGTTATCTTGAAAATAACATTGATGAAAAAAGAGAATTTTAATAGGGCGAGCCATGGGCGCAAAAAATATTAATCCAAAAATGCATTGCAAAGTGGTTTTGTCCAATTAAAAGCAGGGGCAGAGTAGAGCAGCTTTGCCGCGCGCGCGTGCAACAACACACAAGATACATACATTTTTGCCAAACGAAATCATTCATTACGGATTAAGCCGTGGGCCGCGCTCGAGTTAGCACACAATCGAGTTTTAAAAACATATATAGCGCGGGCACAAATAAAGATGAATAATAATACGCGCCGATGCTTTATGAGAAAAATGCCGATAACAACAAAAACGCGAGCGTAGCTACACGTGGAATATAAGAGACGGCGCTGGGCTGGTCGGTGTATGCCAGGGCGGCGCAGCGATAAAAAATCCAAAGTCAATACATTGGGGCTCGCACAGGCGGTTTTTTCGCGCCGAGCAATTGCCAAAATAACGTTTTCCTCTTATCAGGCTGCATATAATCCGCGCATCAAGCGAAGCTATATAGGCGGCTCTCGCGGCCGACCGGGGCAACAATATACGAACCCAACCCAATCATCCAGCGAATAAAAACAAAGCCGCGCCTGGCCGCTCGTATACTCTTACGGCGCGGAATAATAAAGCTCCTTGCACTGCTAGAGCCGCTCATATACATGCTACGTACGATAGACAGTACAACAGTATGCTAGGCTACAGCGCGTAATCCTTGAAATAACAAAACATGAATTCGCCAATATAATGTAGTATTCTATGCGACGTGTTCTCTTCTTTTTGTTTGGCTCTTTTGTCGTCCACGAGCTATGAATATATGTGCGGGTGAAATTCGATACGACTGTGAAAAGAGCCGCGCTGGGAGAAGTGGAGAAAATGAAGGGGCCCACGTTTACGCATAGGAGCTGCAATGGGCGAGCGATAAATACGTAAAATCGAAATTCGTCGATATGCTCGAGCGAATTAGAGGCTCGTGGCTCATTTATCTTGGCGCCGCGACTAATTCGCTCGATGTATTTCTCAAAGGATTCTCGAGCTGCAGTTCGTCTTTGTGCGGCACATACGACGAGCAGAGCTGAAAGGCTGATGCGCTGCACGGCCCAGGATAAAAGTAGACGTCTATATATATTCGCGTCGCGGATAAAGGAGGAATGCAACGACAGGCCGGCTTTCATGGAGCATGCACGCGCGAGAGCACGAGGATGACGAAGCTGCGCCGGAGTGTATGTACCGGTGAGAAAAGCGGCAATTGCGGGGGTGGCTCAACGAACGACGGCCGTGCGGAGAGTCAAGCCGCGCGAGTTGCGCGCCGTATTGTGCACGAGGCCGGGCCTGTGCAGTCTCGCGCCGTAGTACGGCTTAAAGCTCCGATGGATGTGCTCGCTGCGCCCCGCAGAATACCGTAAGAGACGTGAAAGGAATCGAGAAGCAGCCTGAATTAATTGGCGTGTTAACTCGCGCGCACGGCGGATATTGAAATTCTTTGCCCGAGTACGTCAAGTATTCACGGCTCTCTCTCTAAAGCCATACATTATGTACGTACGCGTACAGCAATAGGTGTAAGGATAATGCCAGCGCGCCTCGCCGAACTTTTCCTGCGCCAATATTAGCGGCTGCAGTTTTCTGCCTCGAGCCACCGTACAGCTGACAAGTTGCACGAGTTTTCTGGGGTTTATTTGAATGAATTAGGGCGAGCCAAGTGCAATCGACCATCCGATCGGCTCGTTAACGAGTCGCGACCCGGCTTGCTATTTGACACATTTTCCCGTTTGCGCAGCCGATCTCCACCTACTTATCGATCTTTAAATCGTGTATCCTAAAGAACTTTTTTCTCTCGACTCATAGATTCGGCTGGGCGCTAAAACCTGTAAAGTGAAATTGGAAGCTAGTGAAAATGAAATTAAGAAGAGCAAAGGGAGAGAGAAAATGTCGGAAGAAAAGAAAAGAAAAAGAAGCCGCTGGCTATGTGCATGGGGCATTGGCTGGAGTCAAGTGCGTTGCGCAGGTAAGGCGGCTGCGTGGGTGTAGTATAAAGTAGGGTAAGGTTGTAGCAGCAGGTATATAGGTGTAGGTATAGCGCTTGGGCGGCTGGCTCTGGGGGAGCGAGGATCGTGGGTGGAGCTGCACGCGACGTACGACTCGGCGCCGTTGCCTCGCGCGTCCTGCACCACTTGCCGCTCCGCAGCGAGACTCGACTTTGTTTTTTCTTTCTCCTTCTTCGTTATATCGCGCGGATCGCGCCCCCTCGCCGAGCGTAAACTCGCGGTGAAAAGAGAAGAAATAAAAGTTACCTCGAGCGAGCGTCAACGAACGAACGAATAAACGAACGTCGAGCAGCAGCGGAGTGCGTGAAAGATCGATCGAGATCCGCGCCGAGTCATGCCGCGAGCCCAACCGGATCGTAATAATCGACGAGAAAACGACAGTTGCTGCCGCGAAACAGCTACACACGTGCGGCTGCTTTTCAGCGAGTCACGACGACGAGTCGGCTGGTTTGGATGAGCTGCTCGCGAGTCGCAGCCGTTACACCGAAACGAGGCCTGATACTAATCGAACGAATGGTACATTGGACCGCAGGATCGGTCGTTACGCTCGCCACTGCGCGCGATGCGCCCCCAAACATTTAACAGCAGTAGCAGTGGCCGGATCGAGTATACGAGGAGCTTTAAAAGGCAGCGAGAGCCAGCCGAACGCGGACCATTGGCATTTGGGTGGCGCGCGTCCTCTTCGCGCAGAGCAGCCGCCCGCATGCGCCCTCCAGCGCTCCGTAGAACGGAGTCGGATTCGGTCGGAGCGAGCGGCGGCGACGGCGGCTCCGTACTCTCGTCGCTATATATATACCTATACGTATACGCGGTCGAGTTTGGCGCAGCAGACCGAACCGACTGGCTGGCACTGGCTGGCACGAAACAGCAGTTTGACGCCGGTCGCGCACTCGTCGACACGTTGCGCCGCTCCGCGCTCCTAGCGGACGACTATATTTCTCTATGTTTGTGTATCGTTATATGTATGTGCGCACGAGCGTAAAGAGCATCGAGTGACTCAGTGCAACCGCGACAGTCGGCAGGGTCGAGCTTTCACCTCGCGATACGCAGTGATTTTCGCCACGGACTTTGCACGCAACTGCGCCGATGCTCGCGGCCGAGCCTATCGTCGACGGCCGCTGCCTACGAGAAACATAACCTCCGACGGTCGTCTCTGACACTCTACTCGCTCCAGTCCGAGTCTTTTACCTTGCGCCTTAAAATCAGACGTATCGCGTATCCGGATAAATCTCCAACGTTTTCGAGGTTATGTGCAAATCTTGTGTCATCGAGTTGTGCGCGTCGACGTCGTTGCTCGCGTGCGCAACCTGAGCGAGCTCGCTGAATCGGCCTGCGAGTTCCAGCGCCCGGAGTCGCAAAAAATCCCTCGAAGAGTGACCGTTTCTCGCGCTAAACAGTGCCTACCGTGTGCAGTGTTGACAGTCCAAGGCGCTCGCTCGCTCGCTTGTTCGCGCGCAGGCAGCTGTGCAGATCTAGGCCTGCATGTGTATGTGCGTCGTACGTACGTAGCAGCACACAGGCGCACGCGACCGACTGTGTGCAGTACTGTGCTCCATAGGTGAAGCGTGTGTGCGTATACAGAGAAGAGAGAAACGGAGCATCAGCAGCAGCAGCGGGGTAAAGAAACTCGCGCAAGGCCACGCTACGTTGCCTTTGCCCATACGATATTCCACTTCTGCAGCAGCCCGATCTTCTTGCCTTCTCTCGCTCTCTTCTTTCTCTCTCTCGATCGTATTCTTGCTCGCTGGAACAGACTGTGAAATCCGCCGCGCTGCGTCTTGCTGCGCCGAGGGATTCCTCGCTCTCCTCTTTTCGCTCTCTTCGCTCTCTTTTTCCTGGATCGGAGTAGTATCGCCCGTGGCCCTTTTTTGTCCTCGCATCGCCACGACGGCCGACACGACCAACGACGACTGTACGCCGCTATTGCTGCGCTCCGCGTTCGACGCAACCAACCCACATGTCTCTTGCCATGGTAAGTCCAAACAAACACTCGCAATCTTCGATGCACGCTCTCGGCGCGTATATTTACCTTCTCTCATCCTTCTCTTCTTTCTTTCTTTCCTCCTTGTTTATCACTATTATTATTATTAGTATTATTTTCGCTTGCTCGCAGCTGACACTGTGCGACTCGCACAAATGTTTACGCGCCGGCGTTTACAACTTGTGCTTGAACGAATCGCGGCGCTCCAATCTAATTTCTATATCTTAATTAAGCTGTCGCGCTGCTATCTTGACTGTGAATCGGACTAGATGCATGTGCGCGTGTAAACAAAAGATTCGCCTTACAAACGTGTCGCGAAGCGCCGCGATAGAAAATTACCCAAGATTGCGCGCGTGCTTGTGCAATAAGTTTTCGAGACTGATAAGAAGCTGTTAAAAAGTGGCAGTGGCTTAGCTAAGCCGTTTTTTTTTCAGCCACGGCTCAAACTCGCTGAATCTGCCAAATTATCTTGTCCAACCATGTGTGTAATGTTATTTCAATATACGCGCAGCAGCAGCAGACTCACACGCGGTCGCCTGCACAAGGTCAGTGAACTGGATTGGAGCTCTCCGCAGCAGTCGTTCGCGCCCGCGTAACTATATAGCTCCTATTTGGTGCTGCTAAAGCTTCTATATACGTGTACGCGTGTGTATCTGTGCCTGTATATATATATAGCTCGGGGTATTAATATGCAAATCTTTGCACTCTCTGCTTGGCTCGGTAGAGCTACGCTACAGAGATATGGCCCAAATATACATATTATATTGGCGAGAGAAAACATTAACGTATAGAGCTTGGTCGAGTGAAACTGGATTGCATAAGTAAGCAGAAACTCGCAAAACCGCAGCACACGCGACTACGCGACTTTGTCAACTCGCGTCAAAAGGTCTGTTTCCGGAATACGCCCATGCTTTTCTTTTCGGCGATTTATAAATTGTGTTTTTTTATTCTCGCGATTCAGGGACGATCCCACCCAACGAGTGATGATCGGTTGCGCTGCGACATTCTTTCGACATAATTATGAATATCTTTCGAATAATTATTGTGTGCCGCTGCGTCGTGTTATATAGGTAGATGGTGCGTTGAGGTACGTATATTTGTACCCTAGCTCTCAACAAAATGTCGAAAATGACTTTCATTATCTACGACTCGTTGAGTTCGTATATTGCATGCGACGCAAAAACACGATAACTATTAATTTCGTCCGCCCATTCATGCGAATGGAAGCGAGAAAAATGATGGCTCTGAAGGAAACGTAATAATTCTCTGCAAATAATTCGTTCGCTCGTGGTAATTGTCGCGGGACTCGAACGTAACGCTTCGTTTAATATCACGCATAGTTATCAATTGTAAGCGTGTTTTCGTGTGCGCACAGAATATAATCGACAGCTACGAATACTCGTGTAAAAATTATCGACTAGAATACAGAGATTTTATGATTAGCCAATCGAATATGTTTTAAATGTATCCGAGATTAAAATCGTTTACTCACACATGAGCTAAAAAGACAGAAAATGCGAAAGGGAGAGAATATCAACGTAAAATATTATGAAACGAGATGTCCAACGATGATAAACATCTACCGCGTGACTCGATACAAACGCCCAGTAAAAATTTATTTCTACGACTTGGCAAGGTAAAAAACCAAATTGACTCGCTACAGCTTGTTATTTCTTTATTATCCTATTCGCTTGTATACTTTATTCGAGTTGTCGAATTATTTCGAAAATTTCTTCATTCGCCTATAACAACTCGCGGGTACAGGCACACTCACATACAGCACGAGATCTCGTAAAAATGTAATAAGCCGGTATGCCGAGTCAGACTTCTCTCTGTTTCTCTTTGAAAGTTAACGGTACATTATGTATAACTTGTATGGAACATTTTCGCACACGAGTACGAAAACGAGTTTTCACGACCCTGTTCTTATGTACAAAAAAAAGGAACCGACTCGTGCACTCTTGCATTGCCATGTGTAATTAAATGCAGCTTTACGTATATGTATACCTAGAAATTATAAGGCGCGCGAGTAAACACAAAATATGCGCGGTGTTTTGCAGGACCAAATCGTTTTGCTAAATTTGTGCCGTGCGTTCGCTGCAGTGTATATGAACCCTCGGCAACTTCATTCATTTTCCACTCATTCAAGTCGTTCATTCGGTGGAGCTCATTGGCCTAGTTTTCACTTGTGTGTATGTGCGAGTCTGCCGGACGATTGTCGCGACAAATTTAGTTTTCCGCTCTCTCTCTTGCGCCTCTTGACTTCTCCTCTCCACTATTCCGCTTTGTTCGTGCGTTTTACATGCTATACCTATACCTACGCTCGCATACCTTGAGTTTATAAACTCTCTATGGTTTTATTTGCGTGGTTGGAATGTTTAGCCGTCGTCGTGTCGTGTATGTACACGTAATGTAAGTAGATAAATGTGTACGTGTCGATGTGGATATGTGACTCGATTTGTTTAACGTTGGGATTTGGGCTGGGCTACCATAATAGGACCATGAATTATTAGGCCGATGATAACTGACCGAATAAACTGCCCTCGCGCAAACTCTGAATCATTGGAATATTCCCTGGGCTTGTTTTCTATGTGAGGATGTATTTCATCATTTTTCGATACTCCCGCTTGGAACTCTTTGACGAGCATTAGCCGCGAGACGACTCTCATGCCAAGCGTAGGAGAATTGATGAAAAACTTTTTTGCGCGTCAACAGCCGCGTAAAAGTTTAACATTACAGAGTTTTCATCGCGCTCGTACATGCGCCGCGCACTCGTACATATATAATAGCCGCGCCAGCCGCACAAATGCAGTCGCAGTAGAAAGAGATGAATAGTGCGCGCTCGTTGCTTCATGCAAATTTTTCTGAAGGAAGAAAAAACATTCAACCCCAAAACTGACAACATTCTAATGGCCGTAGAGTTTGACGCAGACGCATCAGTGGCAACATGGAAATTATATTTTTTGCATTCGTGTGTTTATGCATCGCATTCGAAATAAAGAGGCTTTTTCATTAATCAAAACGCGTATTCATAGGCAACTGTTATAGTGATTTAAATTTCTAACGTTTTTTTAAAACGGAAATACGGTAAAGCATTTTCGCTTGCATTTTTTTACATTCCTGGTTTTATGCTGCGATCTGACCTCTGCTTTATTACTTGAATATTCAGAAAAATTTCACCATCTTATGTTTTTCTCATGTCTTGCTAAAAACTTGTACTACTAAAGAAAACTGAATTCACTACATAAGTAAAACAAACTGACTTTACGACCTCCAAAGAAACATTTACTGTTATGAAAAGAATAATAATCACTTGACTATGACTTACGAAAATATTCCATTTTCTTTCAAAGTAATATAGCAGGGAATCATAAACAAACTATTGACACTAACAAGGAGATCTTCTCACCTTCGGGTCACGGATCTTTATCAACATTTTTTTAGGGTCTCCAGGAACCTAATAATGAAGCTCCCTATGCTTAGTTTTATTGAATGGGCCTTAGGGCCCATATAGAAAGGGGTTTTCTCTTTTATTTAAAAATCTTTGAGATTTCCTATATCAAGATAGCAGCACTTAAACAAAAAATGCACCGATCAAAAGTTTTGAAATTTTTCAAAGAATCTGTCTGAATTTTTTCAGAATTGTTTGAATTGTCCATTACGGTTTTTTAGAGGTTTCTAAAATTCGCCTGAAAAGCATTAAATTAGGGTCTCTGAAAAATTCTCATGATTTTTTTGAATAATAGTTATAACACTTGAAGTAACACTTAAAGGATGAAAATTCATATTTTTTCAACCACTGGGTTAATTCTTATCGCAGGTCAGTTATTTTACTTGACTAAAATTTGTATTGAAATAATCAAATAGACATAATTCGAAATCTTTTTCGAAAAATACAAACCATTTTATTTTTCAACTTTTATAGTCTGATTTATAAGAAGTTTTGAGTTTATTTACATAATTTTTCATCGGCATAATCTACGTTGAAGTAATTTTTCAAAGTCATTTTATAAAACCACAATAAAGTTTAAAATATACAAATCCTACTTTGAACCTGCAATTTATAAGCATTAATGTGTATGTGTGTGAATAATATAATATGTAGTCAGTCAAGCTATCCTTCATAATAGGGCAATTCGAGTGGTATACGTGCGTGAATTGCGCAATCAAGTTGCAATCTCCATCCTTTAGAGATAACTCTGCACGCCACTGCGCCCAAAATATCTCTTCATAAAAGCTATTGAACACCTTTCCTGCTCGCTCCATATATACAAATCCACACATATGCTATGTTTATTATGTGCACACATAGACGTGTATGATAGACCAATCAGATTATGTAAGCGTTTCCCTCTCGGCTCGTACACATATACGGCTTGAATCACTATATTCGTAAAAAGCTATTGTCAATTTTATTTATTTACCCTGTAAATCGATCAATTCTCACTTTTTGAGCAAACTGGGTTAACTCGGACAAAGAAGATACACAAACAGGAAAATTTGTTTGACTTTGTACAATAGAATTTTCAGTAAAACCTATATGTGCGCGCGTGTGTATGCACTGTAGCCATTTGTCAATTAAACTTCAACTACGTTAGCCTTTGAGGCACGCAGCTGAATAATTTATACATCGTCTAGGTGAATATATTGCCTCTACTTTAGCTTCCATCACATTGACTTTGTCTATAAATTTTTCACGCAAAAATTTCACACATCGCCTTTCTTTCTCTTTCGTTTCCTCTCGCCTTCTCTCTCTCTCTCTCTTCTTCCCTCGCTCGCTTGCTCTACGCTCTATGCAATCAGAGCAAAACTTTGTGTGTGTGTGTGTGCAAGAACGTGCATGTGTGTATATATGTGCGTGGATACATGGAACGTTGTTAACTTTCAAAATTTCCCAGACTCTCAGGTTCTCTCCTCGCTCGAGAGAAATTAATTAAGAGCGTTTCAAAAGGCCGATGAAAGCAGCACACGACACATGCACGCATACATAG